CGGTGTTTGCGGCAATGAACAGTTCTTGCCCTGGTTGCAGTGTTTACTTCAATAAACTGTTCTTGTGATGAAAATACAGACTATAAATCATTAAGTTTTGCTTGCCAGAATTGTTTGTGATTCGATTCAGATAAATTGAACAAATATCACACATTTCCAACACTACATGCTTTTGAGTTTATCACCCACTTATGACTTTACTTGTCTCTCTAAAACAGTTTTCAGCATAGCAGCCATTTTGTACCTCTATGACATACCATTTATGTCTGACAAGGGAATTGGGTTGTTTTTTTACAGATAAATGAAGATCGCAGACGTTTACAAGAACAAGTGATAGAGATTGAAGTCAAAAATCAGACTTTATCTAACGACCGCGATAACCTGAAAGATACAGTCGACAAACTGGAGGCAGCCATCAAGGTATGCTACCTATCATCAGTACTGTAGTAGTCATGTGGTACAAAAAATAAAATTCTGCTGCTATTTTTTGTAGTTGTGTACCAAAATTTTTGAAGAATAATTTGTTCATTTTTTAAATCAGCTGTTACAAGAAATGTAGAAGGGCTTTCCTGATTGGCTAGTCACTTTTGGTGATTTAGAATAAATGAATAATTATAGCTTGGCATTTCTAATTGGTTAATTTAACTACCCCCCTCTCTCTGCTTTATTCTAAACCCTCTCTCTACTCTACACATCCCTCCTGCTTTTTGCAATCTTCTACTTTTTAATAAAATTATGCTTTTCTGTTTTTTACATGTCAATTTTATCATCTTTTCACTACTTCTGGCGTCATGGTATTAAAAATAAATGAAAAACAAAACAAAAACATTTGCTCACTTGGCTCTATCAAAATTACTGGACTGAATTTTCTTTGTAGCATATGCAAGACGCCGCTGAGAAGCGGAAACAACTTGAGGCTGAGTACCAGGAAGCTCGGAATAGTCTTCAGTCCAAGCAGGACGAAATCCGGCAGCTACAACAGGTTGGTTTAAAATGGCAACTCTATGCTGGCATCTCAAATTATTATATTATATATATATAGGTCATCATTTGCACAAAAAAGGATGAATTTGCGTTCAGTGGATCCAAAGCTCAAACTCAAACAGTGTTCTCATCAGACACAAGACATGAAATATTTGCCTTATGGTGTAATTTTTTGTCCCAGGTTTTTTACTCAAATTTGTCTCATGAAAATGTTAGAAAATACAACTGACAATTCATAAATGTTTCACAAATAATTTGACTACACCCTCTACCATAAGAAGAATTAAATACTTTATGTCGCAGTCTCATGTTCCTCATGTACGGGTAATTGTCTCATAATTTCTAACTTGATGGAACAATTACGCTCCATGGTGATAACACTGCAAACGTGCATTAAGCAATTGCAGCCAACAATGTACAAAGAGAAATCTATTGAAAAAAAATTCTTGAACGAAACAAAGTATGTTTTAAAATGGGGTGCGTTGGCACCGTTGTTGGAATGATTATCTCCTGTACTAAATGTTTTTATAATGTTCTATATGTCGTGTCTGTGACGTTTTTACTGTTATGTGAACATTGTAATTATTATTAGAAAAATGTATGCTATATTTATACATTACATACATCTATGATGAATCATGGCCGACTGGTGGCCATTTTTTACTTCATATAGGCTTTATAATTTTTGTGATACATATTGGGATATCTATGTCAATATCAGTTTCTCAGGCTTGCATTGACCAATTATGTTGATACACATGCAGTGTACATTGCATCTTGCAAATTGTGTGTACCTACTATCTGGTCAATAGAACTAGTTCACAGTAAAACCTATCATAAACTATAACAGAATAGCTGGAACAGTCCTTTCCTTGCACCCATATTAAACTAATTTGAGAAAAAAAAAATTAAACTCTTTATTTAGTTTACATAATAATTAATTATCAATAATAATTTAAATAATTAAATTACTTTAAAGAAAAAAAAGTTTGGACTGATCCCACGTGACTTCTTGTCGCATAGGTGCTTGTCACATCATGTGTGTTCCCTATAGCTTGCATTCATGCGTAGTGCTCACATCTCAGAGCATATCCAATGTTATTATCATCGTAATACTCTTGAACTTGACATGTTGAATGCAAATTAAGTTGGAAGCTATAAACCCTCGGTAATGACTGATTTCTATGCTTAAAGTAAATCTTTATGTTCATGTCTTGTCAGTTTCGCTGTCTTTGTGATGTGGTATATTGCACTCCAGAGACTGACTTGGCATTCAGTTCATCTTTGATAAATTAGTCGTGGATTATATTTTTAAACTTGGAATGGATCAAATAGATATTTGTGTGTTGTATAGTCAGGGTTTGAGGGGATTGGAGTTGGGTCAGCGCAAGTGGTCAGAGTGGGTTAAGAATCGTTGTCGTGACTACATGCTTTATAGTGTAGATGGCTACAGTAACATTGAGACAGTAGAACTCATAGTTGTTGATGCATACTTAATGGGGCATGTTTATTGATGAGGAACAATTCACCCTCCTATCAATTGGGACAAAGCCCACTGGCTGGAGATAAATAACAACCAATTGATGCAAAGTTGCCTACTTGTCAGTGTAAATTAACTAGCCTTCTAATTGGTACTAAGTAAAACATTTTGGATTGGTTCAAAGGAACACAAATTTTGATTAGTGCAAAGTAACACAAATTTTGATTAGTGCAAAGTGACACAAATTTTGTTTGGTGCAAAGTAACACACATTTTGATTGGTGCAGGGTATAAACCCATATTTGTATTGGTGCAAAGTAAAACACCATGTGATTGGGTGACGCACCTTCTTATTTGTGCATAGAAATTGATTGGTGTGAAGCAGCATCATTTCTATACAAGCAAAATACCCCTATTAAAATTTGTCGTTTGCTGTAGGTGATAAAATCATTCTAATAAGTAGTGTAAAAAAGCTATGATTCCAAATCTGTTGTGGTCACAATTTATGGTAATTTTGGTTTTATGTTGTGTTGGTTAGTACTCTACTTTAAGTTTAATGGATTAAACGATTTCTTGTTTCATTTTCTTTGCGTCATGAATATTTATTTATCATTTTAAGAGCAGGATGTCATATTACAGTATCCAGTGCTACTGTCTTTTTATTTCCGCCGCAATAAGGACTGAAAATTACGAAAGAATTTACTGATACTAAATTTTATAGAATTTTTAAAATTCCATTCCTATTTTGCGAATCTATGAGAAACATACTTGTTAAGATTGTGGATAAGTAATGAGAAATTAACTGCAGAATATGAAATTGGCTGAGTTAGAGGGCTTTATTTCTCCTGAAATGTCAGTTAGGTGGCTTTATTTCTCCTGAAATGTCAGTTAGGTGGCTTTATTTCTCCTGAAATGTCAGTTACATTGTAGGTACATGCATGTTTGTCTGAAAGGATAAGAACTTCAAGTACTCTCAAAATGAAATGTCTGGAAACGTCAGGGTGAGATTTTAATTTTTAGTGAAAACAACTGTTTTATGTTTTTAAGCTTGTTCTGGGAGTAATAATACACATATTTTGTGAAATAGGAATGAAACTTTAAAGCCTGAATATTGACCATTTATAATAAAATAAGGAGAAATCTGGGATGATTGTGATTGATTTTGTAATTTTTCAAAAATTTGATAAGATGCAAATTCAAACACTATTCCACCTTAACCCGTTTGCTAACTTATTTCAACTATGACAAAATTAAAAAACTCAATATTAAGAAGATACTTTCAGATTCAACTGTGATATTTTATTGAAACTGCAACACCTGAGCAAAATGTAATCCATGTATTTGAATAGCAAACAAAAGCGTGAAAGTTCATCTGTACTTCTTGTATTTCTAATCAAAAACTCCATCATGAATAATTCCCCAGTTATGACAGTTCTATTATTAATAAACACAATGGTATTAAATGATATTGCAGTCACTAACAGTTCAAGGTCCTGGTACTGGTTTTCAAGCTTAATTTTCAAAATGAGTCGTGCATCTGAGTCAATGTTTGTCATTTATTTATTGCTTACAAGCCCTAAATTTGTTGCTGCAAATTGTGGCCTTAATTGGCATTATGCTTTCGTATATGCATCAATGATCTACGCACAAAAGAATGTGTGCGTCTGCAAATGATAGCCGTTTTTTTTTCTTCCTTTCATTTTAATCTAAATTTGTTTTTTGTTGACATCTCTTGCCTTTTTGTGATTGTTGCTGACGACATTAAAAAAATTAACTGAGAAAGTACACATAGAAATTGAAGCGTACCTTCTATTAAATAAGTTGATTAGTTTTTGCGTATGGTAATCCCAACTCTGAATCCATTCTTGCTTTCATCATGGTTGAAATATCACCCTATTGTACAGAGACAAATGTCATAGTTCCAGTGAATTCTTTGACAACAAATCAATCCTATCTTCACGTTGTGTTTGACGATCATCTCATGGCCCTGGGGACACAAAGCAATTGCATTTATTTCCTTTTTGTAAAGTTAAAATTTATTTTTGGGATTTGAGAAATGTCAATTATTCTCTGCATGCTGGAGGCAAATGTCTGTTCTGTCGTCTTGTTTCATCAAGTGCATATTTGTTTGTACAATATAACATCAATAGTGACAAATCAGAAAAATATACTGCCCTCAGAAATGAATACTGCCCTCTATCATCAGAGGGGAGTACTGCCCCCTTACCAGATGTGAATTCTGCTCCAGAAATGAATACTGCCCTCTATCATCAGAGGGGAGTACTGCTCCCTCACCAGATGTGAATTCTGCTCCAGAAATGAATACTGCCCTCTATAATCAAAAGGGAGTACTGCCCTCTCACCAGATGTAAATTCTGCCCTCAGAGATGAATACTGCCCTCTATCATCTGAGATGAATAATTCTCTCAGATGAATACTGCCCTCAGAAATGAATACTGCCCTCTAACATCAGATTATTTACTGTCTCTTAAAAAAGTTTAAGATGAATACTGTACTTTTTCCTTGTATTTTTCAATATTTCTGTAAATGAACACTAATTTTTGAGCCAACAGACAAAATTTTAGTAAATTTTCAGTTTTTACTCAAAAAATGTGGCTACTTTTCTCCAAGTCTTCTGAAGGAAAGTGCAGACTATCAACAGGACTATTTTGTGATGAAAAAAAGAGAAGGTAAAAACCACACACCAAATAAAAATTAAATCAATGAACAGTTTTAGCATACATTTTTATCTTCAGCAAATCTGATCACTGGTTTTTAACTTTGTCATTTTTGTTGATAAGTGAAATTCGCTAAATTTAATCCATGTAGAATAACAATAAAACTCATTATTACTCCAGCCAAATTCATGAAAATCCAGTGGAATTGCTCAAAACATCAAAATAGTGAAAATTAGTTTTACATTAATTTAAGAGGGGATTGGTTCAGGTGCTTGTCTCCAAACACTGATATGAATTACAGGGTGGTTAAGTACACTGTATCTACTACCTATCGCTAATATTACACGACTACTTTGAAATACTTTCACAACAATTCCCCAACATAAATATTTTCCCTGATTGGCAGATTTAGTGAAATATAAAATCTGGCGAATATACTTTTCTGTTTTTATATTTTCACATTTAACTCATCAAAAATCAGTGAAATAAGTTTCATATAAAACTCCCAAAATAAGTTCTAAAATAAAGAATTACATATTCTTACATATTTATACAAATGTTGTAAACCTACTTTAAATTAATTTCAGGAGCAGGAAGCGGCAAAGAAGACACACAGACATGCTGTAGATCAGCTGGAACACAAAGTGCAGGAACTCGAACGCAAATGTGGCGAACAAACAGAAACATTTAGCAAGCTTTCTCAGGAGCTGAGCTCTTTGAGACATGATGCCACTAGCCGGAGAGCTGGCTCTCCCAAAGTGGAAATTGCGATCCAGACATCCCCAGAAAGCCTCTCAGATGAAGGGTTTGGTGACAATGGTAGCATGACGCCACGGAAACAAGACGAGAAACGGAAAGCTAGTTCTGTGTCTGCTTCGTTGGCTGCTGAAGGGGTACTAGATGACGTTTCTAGAGGTAACGTGTGACACTGTATGAAACATAAGGGGGAGAGGGTATTAAGGAAGACAATTTTAACCTTTTAGAAGAATGTTAAGGGGGTGTTAAATTGCATGAGGAATTGCTTGTAATCATTGGAACGATGTCGCTTCTTTTTAAGAGTTCACTCATGATATAACTAACACTCATATTGTATGTCTGCCACTAATTCTAATAATGTTAATCGTGGTGTCGCATCTTAATATCACTGCATTTCATATTTTTGTTTCTGTTTCTTTTTTGTATTCTGTATTGTTTTTTGCATTCATTTACTGTATTAGTTGATGATTTTCTTGAGGGTTTTTCACTGGATTATGCTGTTCGAAAACTTAAAAAACCCTCGGAATCGGTCAAGTCAGTTGACACAGGTAGGTCTTGCGTGAAGACCATGATTCCATCTGTCCCTCATAACCCAACAATTGCTGTATTAATATCCACATATTTTTTATTTAATTGTTTTATTTGACATGTTGTCATGGTAACTGCATGCTGCATGGTAGTTGCATGTTGTTTATTTGTCAGTTATAAAAATGTGCGTGTCCACTAACTGTCGGCGTTCATCTTGGTTACCACCATTGGGTCAATTTGTCCTCTGGCTGACCTCAATCCAGACACTATTTGGTCAACCTATACTCTCTTGTCCTTGCACACTTCGGTCACTCTGGTCAATTGTGGTTTATAGCACAGTCTCTGGTCACTGCTACCCCTACTGACTTGGTTGTCACCTGTATCAAATTTCTTCTCTTGTCATCCTCAAGTCGCATTCTCTGGTCACTTCTACGTCAATTTCCATACCTCTTGGTACTTGATTGGTCATTGTGGTGTTCGTTGTTGCTCGTCTTTCAATCCACCATGCAAGTTCTTCAAATGACTCTCTTGTGCAAGCATGAGACGTACCATGTCTCGTATGTTCGATAGTTGTTCCTTTATTTGGGTATTTTTTACGCAGGATATATAGAAGGGGATGACGATTTGTTCGAACAGTTTTGGGATGCCGTTGTAGTTGGTGTTGAGGATCTTTCTTATAGCGCCGAGATTAAACGACTAACTATGTCAGAAAGTGAAGGTGAGAGTGCCATTAGAGACAATGAGGGCATCTATGCATGGTTTCCATGGTCAGTTATGTGCTATGTACTGGGTTACCTCTCGACAACAGGTTATTCTGTTCTGTATAACACATAACTCAATTCACAACATGAATATTACATAAACATCTATCACAATATACTATGAACATAATGCTTACATAACAATATGCAAATCAAAACATGTTTGACAACACGGTCATATATATGTGTGAAACATAACATTCAACATATTTTTTTATATAGTGCATATATTTGAAACATGTAACAAAGGTAATGCATGTTTATAAGGATGATTTGTATACAGTTAGATGTATCTTTTACTGGTTACATAAATTCAGCTGATGTTTGTATGCATGATAGCTGCCTTGATTTAAGCTGTATATAATTGTTACATTGTATCATTTTTAATTTATTTATTTTCATTTTAGTTAATTAATTAATTAATTAGTTATGTACATACTTACTCAAATAGCTTTAGATATTTTTTTATTTAGTTAGTTTAAAATATTTAGTATTTATATATAACTGTGCATAAAATTCATGAAATAGTAGAATAAATAATGATTTTAATTAATTAATTATTATGCATCATATGCCAATTGATTCTCATTGTGAAGCATAATCAATACATGACGTTAAGAAAATCAGAGATTGCTTATTTGTTGTTCGTAAATGACATTTCAAACTTATTTTCGGTTACAGACATAAATGGGCTTGTTTTAAACCGTAATATTAATCTTTTCCTCACCAGTTCCCTCTTTTCATCACAAATTCACAAATTAGTCTTGTTTATAGTACGCACTTTCTTTCAGAAAATTGGGACAAAAAAACAAACACTGATGAAAGACTGGAAATTGACTCAAATTTTGTTGTTTGACTCAAAATATCATTTCCAGAAATATGAAAGAATATAAAAACAAGTGCAGTCAAATTTGGGCCTGAAAGTCTGGTGGTGAAAACATACATAGTTTCCAAATACATGATTTTCAGTCCACAGCCCCCATGTTTTTAGATGTTTCGGCCCTTACATATATCTTAGTATTTGGATGGAAAGCCTCAACGAGGAGGAGAGATGGAAAATTTATATTACTGTGATTTAGTTAAAAAAATCAACTAGACATACTTTGTCTTGATATATAAAAAAACAAAAAAAAAGAATTTAGCATATCTATTCAATCTAACCAGATTAAATTGATCAATAATTGAACATATTAAAAACATCCGCATTGAGATAGAATTGTGACACGTAGTGGGAAAAGAATACTGTAACTACTGTGTATATAATCACATCTTTTAAAATCTGATAAATAGTTCAACATAAATATGAACACTGTATTTTCTCTATTAGTTGTGCATTACCTATAATGTGATCCGGCATACAATAAATACAATTTTTTAATTTACGAGGGCTTGTATTACAGATGAGTGTTGAGAGCAAGATAATGTTACAAACTTTGATAGGACGATTTTAATTTTCATTCTTTTTATTTTCAAGGGGTGTATTAGTAAATAAATCTGTTCTTTCATTAACACCGAACAGTGAAGATGTTTTCAAGTTTGATTTTGGTTATTAGCTGTCCATCTGTCAGAGTAGTAGTCAAAGCATTCACATTCCTACGTATTAGTTGATAGAATCTGTGAGATTATGAGCCCTCTGTGATGTTTGTGTATATGTATTAAAGTTTACGAGCCCTCTGTGATGTTCAGGCCTGAATTTGGATGTTTTTGCATTAATAGATTACGCGGGAAAGACCATATTAAGGTCAATCTTTGGTATGTCTTCAGGCACGTCAAATTTACTCTATGTTGCCTGCCGTATTTATTGTTTTCTTTATGTTTTTGTAGATGATTCTGCGTCTGTCCGATCACATCGTAGTGCCAAAGATGACAGCCGATCATCAAAGTCAAAACCAACAAAGGAACTAGAAAATGGAAAGGTAGATTATTGATTTGAATTGTTTATGTGTTTTGTTATTGGAATGATTTGCATGAGAATGAAAGAGATATTACTTTGTTGATGTGAGTGTGCCCTCTTGGGTTGAATATGAGATATGTTTCATTAATCTTCCTACTTCATTTAAATTTTTTTATTTAAAAGACTTGTTATTAAATCATTTAAATCTGATAAAAACTGATTTTAATTATTTGGAAAGCCTTTTATAATTATTTCATTATTTTAACATTTAGTTAATCTGGATTGAATCATTTTTAACAAAACAAAGCAACATGCAATTTTGTAAATTTATTTAAAGTAATTTTCAAAACCAAAAAAAAAAAAATTAATAATAATATCAAATCAAAAATGTAATTAATATTTTATTTTATTTAATAAATATATTAATATACAACTTTCGGGGCAAGAAACTTGAAAATTTAATTTATACATTTTAAGGATATACTTAGTATTTTTGTTACATGTATTGTCAACATAATATAATATTCATGATTGTATGGGTATTCCCTATGGAAATTACTTAGTCACTGCATGCCCTGCATAGCTGTTTTAACTTGACTGACTGCACGGGGAGGTAGCTGTCATGCTGGCTCGCTATATAACAGTGTACTGCAGGAATATTTGCCATGGATGTGTTAGGAAATTCAGTTAGTATGGTTTAAGAGCATTTACAAGTGGTAGTTCGGTAAGAGCTTATTTCTTTTTTAAAAAAGCGTTGAAATCTATCTACATCAGCTGCTGGCCTTATATTAACATATACAAATTTACCATTGAATTCTCGGTTTTCAGATACCTTCTTTTAGATTTGTTTGTTTATATTTTTTTTTTAGCATTTCTAGATTTTTAAATTATTTGATTTTTTCATTTAAGTGAGTGATTATGGTTTCATTTTATCGTCTATTATTATATATATACCTTTTGTTACGCAGAGTACCGATCAGTGCTGCCATTGTTATGCATTAGTGATGACAAGGTATTCTAGTATGAATCCATTATGAGAGATCGTCTAATTTTCTCACTGTCTTGGGAGTCCCCTCATAACCAACCGATTCCCCCCTTGTATATTTGGAGGAATTAAAAATAGTAATATACACAGTGTGTGTCTATTAATATATCTACAATTTAATGAGTTTATTTATTACGCCACTGCGGTATCGTACATCTCATAAGAAGTCCTTGCTATGTATAGATCCGTCAAGGTCACATGACTAAACACACCTTTTCTGTATGTCACTGTCCTATTCTTGTCGCCAATCACTGTCTTCAAAATGGATACCAAGCACTGAATTTATTTTTAGCTTAATTCTTGGAACATGGCGTCCTCTGAGGGTTGGTTTTCTCAATGGAGCCATTAAAACAAGAAACTAATACTATGTGAGAACCGCAAGAATGAATTTGTACATTCCCTTACTGAATGAAATTTCTAGTTGTCAAAATCTAGTTGCATTTATTGTGTTTCATTTTATGGTTTAGATTTTATCGGGTTAGGCACAAAATAAAAGTACATTTTCCTCATTATATCATAAACAGTATTTGTATAAATTAATTCCTATCAGCCAAAAATACCTAAAAAATATTGATTTTTATGAGATAAATATATGTTCACCGTTTTTTTGCTTGTAGCAATTAAGAATCCCCCATTGATGGTTAAATAATTTTATTTTTTCTTCAACCGACCATCTCGCTTTCGCTACCCGTCTGCTCACCGTATTATCAGATAATCAAATGTGTCCTTTTGCTCATTAACTGACGTACATCGTTAATATCGGTAATCACAATTCAGTGAACTGAGGCTGCCTATAAATTTAATTAAATAATTTTATTTATTTTTTTTCTCCAATTGTTAGCATTTTTCATTCACGCACGATCATGCTTGAATTGAGGAACCCCACAATGATAAACATTTCCCCAAGAAACATAAAAATGTTGTTCAATGTAGTCAAATTGGATCAATCTTGTTTTAATTTTGTACAACTTCATTTCAGGCCAACATTTTCCATATTTTTTTATGTATTTTTCTATAATCTATATTTTTATGTATTTTTCTGTAATTTTTTTCCCCAAACATATTTTATCATTGGCTTCAGGTCTTAATAAAAAAAACTGATTAGATAAAAACAAATTATGCAACTTTTTTTTTTATCTATGATGCATCAACAATGGCTTCCTTGCAGCCATATATTATCTGCTATGAATAGATAATTATTATATTATCTGTGTTATCTCTTGATAGATAATGATATAATATTAATGTGTTAAAACAAGATAATGATCATGTTGATTTACTGATGTAAATTTTATTTGTTCAAGTCTTTCTCTGTGTTTTTGAACCTTTCATAGATAAAATCTCCATTGTTGTCAAAATTATGGCATTCATATAGTCACATATATCCAATTTGGCACTATGTAGGTGACCTAGAATTTCACAAATTACAATTCGACCAGAGTTTGATGTGAGTTGTTTACATCAGCTTGAATTGAAACTAACTGAGCATGACCTTTGTCAGGCTGCATTATAAACCTTAACATCGGCCTTTAATACTCATTTAAAATACCAGTATGTGTTGGTTTTAATTATATTTCTCAGTCAAGTTCAACTCATTTGTTGTGTTCCTGAGATAAGTATGTTAATTCTGAATAAAAATATATCATATTTCGTCAAAATACAATGTACATATTTTGATTTGGAGACATTACACTAATCTTTATGTCATCTTAACCATGGAGGTATAGTATCTCCATGTCTTAACCATGGAGGTATAGTATCTCCATGTCTTAACCATGGAGGTATAGTATCTCCATGTCTTAACCATGGAGGTATAGTATCTCCATGTCTTAACTATGGAGGTATAGTATCTCCATGTCTTGACTATGGAGGTATAGTATCTCCATGTCTTGACCATGGAGGTATAGTATCTCCATGTCTTAACTATGGAGGTATAGTATCTCCATGTCTTGACTATGGAGGTATAGTATCTCCATGTCTTGACCATGGAGGTATAGTATCTCCATGTCTTAACCATGGAGGTATAGTATCTCCATGTCTTAACCATGGAGGTATAGTATCTCCATGTCTTGACTATGGAGGTATAGTATCTCCATGTCTTGACTATGGAGGTATAGTATCTCCATGTCTTAACCATGGAGGTATAGTATCTCCATGTCTTAACCATGGAGGTATAGTATCTCCATGTCTTAACTATGGAGGTATAGTATCTCCATGTCTTGACTATGGAGGTATAGTATCTCCATGTCTTGACTAAGTGTCTTCCACGCTTTTAACGAAAGTCACATAGTTTTTTGTCATTTAGCGGCAAACAAAATTGACTGTGTATGTTATCGATGGTTATAAGGCCCCGATTAGAATATCAATATGTAATTAAAAATAATCTCAGAAAACTTCCGCAGGTAACCTGCTCTGTGTCTATATTTACTTAAATTTCATGTCGGTTACAGCAGAGCTTTTGAACGTAAAGTGTCGCCTTTAAATTTCATTATTTTCTGTAATTAGTTTCAAACTTATTAAACTAGTATATTTTAAAAACAAATTTGCTCCAACTGTTTTCAGTTTTGCAACATTGAAAAGAAAACCATTATTTTGGTATCACCAATAAATTCAACATGATCAAGGTTTGAGGCAACATTCTGAAGTGAACACTATTGTTTCGCAATTTGTTTCCAAATTCTGTGCATAATAATCTCTTTATAATGGCAAGTAAACTTGTAGTCTCTGAAATTTGTATTAATAGTTCTATTTAAAATTTCTGAAATAATCTTGAAAAAAACAAACCCAAACATACAGGAAATGACATTGTATTATTTATCGGTATAGTGTTCATGTTAATACCGTCGTGGCGTATGTTATACCAATAAAGACGTTCATTGAATAACTATTTGTCTAGTTTGTTTTTACAGAAATCCCCTGGTTTGTTGTCTCGATATAAACTCGTTATTTCCTTTCCCTTTGCAATTCCCTTTTAATGGCCTCCATTAAAGTAGGCAAGATTCAAGTAATTATTATTCAAAGAGAAGACTAATTGTTTATTTGTAAATCATTAGTACACTCACTTCATGATTGCAAGTATATTGATAATTTTCATCCAGGCCATTAGAAAATTTCATAGGTTTTGGGTTAGCGGTTCCAGTTCATGTTCGTATGTTGGATATAACTTTTCACTGACATTGTCAACTTTCATCTCTGTAAAACCTTTTCAAATTTGTGGGAAGTATCTTGTATTTTTCTCAAGATTTTCAGTATATTTCACAGGGGTTCTAGGGAGACATAATAATTTTCACTAGGGTCCGAGGGAGTCACAGTAACTTTCACTGTGGTCCTAGGGAATTACAGTAGTTTTCACTGGGGTCCTTGGGGGGCACAGTCACTTTCATTACAGGCCTAGGGAGTCACAGTACGACAACCACCAGGGTAATGAATGGTACAGTGGCTAGTATGTCTGCCTAACTTCAGGAAGATTGTTAAATTCCTGGTGTAGGCTGTTTACAATACAAATCAGAGTACAGTTATTTTTGCCTTCCAAAGACATGATATTATTCAAATTGAATTAAAAATGAAAAAGCCAACATCCTCGTTGTGACAATAGATTTTTCGGTTGAAATAGTGAAAACACAAGCTAGGTAAAAAAACTTGCAAGATATGTTTTATCATGTTCATACAATCCAACAGTTCAGTAAACATGTTTATAAAATGCTAACATATCACTAAAGCACTAGCATGACTGTAAACATACATTTTTGAAGATACGGCTTTGCGTTGAGCTGTATCAATAGATTAAATCTGAGAATACAATACGAGTATACGACAACTAGTTGCATAATCATAATGATGCGCCAGACAAAAAAAGTCTATTCAGTCAATCTACAAACTGACAATCGCATCAATCTTTTTGAATTTGAATTGACGAGGACAATTTATACTGATAATACCAATTACTGGATGTCATTATTTGTTCTCATTTTTGCATAATTTGATCATAATGGAAGATGACAGACATTTTTAATAAATTCAGTAAAACTCAGTAAAAGTTAACTCCCGTCAACTTTCACAAAAATAGTAAATTTTTTTTAAAGACCTGTGCTAATGAAAAAATTTGTCAAAAATTAATCAGAAAATTTTAGATAAATACATAAAAAGGTGTCAAATGTTGCACCAAAAGAATAAAATTATGGCGTTCATTTAAGATGATTACAGTGCAATATGATTTCGAATTCGGAATACAATAAATATTAGTTTGTGCATATTTGCTTTATAAGAAATTATGAATAATTACAAGTTAGAGATAGGAAGAATTGAAATTCTCAATCTAATTTAAAAGTTACACTATTTCCTTAATAAAATTTAATGTGTTTCAGTGTGTACCTGGTGGTGTCACTTTATTAGGAAACTTCAGGAAATAAAATTTGATTACATTATCATTGGCATCCCCTACACTACTTCTACTGGTGTTAATATATATATTAATATAATGGCTGTACTTATGGATGAATGTCACAAAACATTGCTTGAAGTGCAGTGTGTGTGTGCGAGTGCAGTGCATTGGGATGGATAAGGATTGGAGTGCAGTGCAGTGCAGTGCAGTGCAGTGTAGTGCAGTGCAGTGTAGTGTAGTGTAGTGGGTGTGAGTACAGTGCATTGAGGTGGATAAGGATTGGATTGGAATGGAATGCAGTGCAGTGTGTAGTGTAGTGTAGTGTAGTGTAGTGTAGTGTAGTGTAACGTACCGGGTAGCGTTTGGAAGCCACATCTGGATTGATACAGTATATTTTTCTCAATTCAAACATTTCCAGATATATAGTTAATATTTTGGAGAGTACACAGCTAATTAATTAGTCACTCTATTCCACTCATGATCACAATTATTGTACACTTTAGAGTATTAATGCATGAAATATATTACAAAAAAATAAGTGTACATTTAGATGTAATGCTGATGAAATGAGTAATATCATCTTTTACTTTAAGTGTGATTTACAGAGTTTTTGTGATTAATGTTATAACTGGAGATGGCTAGTATTATGACTCAACTGAACATGTATCATGAATGTCTAATGATGACTGTCTCCATTGGCAACTGAATAGGCAGTTTCCTTTCTTTACTAATCCGTGTTTTCATTTTTGTTCTCTTCCCCGTAGGCGGATGATAGTGGGAGCGAAGCCGATGACATAATCGAAGAGATTAGCGAAAAGATTGACATGAACGTTCTCAGGCATACTGTTATTCCTAAACGTGAAAAATTAGCCGTTTTTATCGCCCGATATAGTTATGATCCATTACTATACTCTCCAAATGAAAACCCTGAAGCGGAATTGGCTCTCAATGCTGGTGAATACATCTATGTGTATGGAGATATGGATGAGGTAAGGTTATAGGTCACAGATCAAAGGACATACATGACGTCTTTATCGTTTTGTGTTTTCTTCTAATTCTATGTTTAGTGAAAAATAAAGAAAGAGAGTAAAATTAATGATTTCCTTTTTCAGGATGGATTTTATGAAGGAGAGCTGATGGACGGAAGAAGAGGTTTGGTGCCTTCAAATTTTATTGAGCGAGTTGCAGGTAAGTCTAATCCACCGCAAAAAAAAAAATGTTTTTCTCCTCATTCATTGGTACTTGTAGATGTTGTAAAAGCATGTATATTTTTTAAAAAAAAGTTCCAGTTTTATTTTATTAATTTGCACTTTTTCCATGGAAAGTCTTGAGTTGGCCCATTGTTAGTCACTATATTTGGGTAACCAGGCAGCCATCTTGTTTTGTTGTTGCAGACATAACCCTGTAAGAATGGCCAATAGCTAGTTGGCCCTTGGTTACCAGGTTGCCATATTGAGGTTACTGGACAGCCATCTTGATTTGTTGTGGACATACTGCAAGAATGGAAATGCATGGCTAGTTAGCTCCAGATTATCCTGGGGGTTGGGGTTACTAGGCAGCTATTGTTTTGTCATTGGATTTTTAGAAATTATTATTGTTACTTCTTTTTAATTACTGGTTTGTTTGATTTTATTATGAATAAGTATTTATTGGTGGAAACTACGGAAGAAAATAATAATTGATTTGACTTGATTTTTATTTAATTCATGTCATAACATAATAATTTTTAAATTATTTAAATTTATAATTAAAAAAAAAACAAAAAAAATTTGTTTATGAGTGTTATCATGTAAGAATTATTGGAAAGTTTGATCCAAAAAATGTTCACAACAGAAACAGTAGTCACTACAAAGATTGAACAGACTTTTGTAATCTGCAATTTTCGCCAAAACTTAAGCTCAGGACCACAAGTTCAAAGAATTGAAACAACAGGCGCATCAGCTTAAATCCATTTTACCTCCCTAGGTCACCTGTGTTTAATACCAAGTACCTCCCTAGCTCATTTGCTTAATAATTTAATGCAGCCATATTATAAAAAAAAAAAACAATTGCTTTTTTTTAAATCTCCCATTTGACCTTTGCTTTGTTTTTGTTGTTTGCTTTACACATTTAAAGAAGGTCTTCTAATCAAGCATCTAATTAAAAATAATATTAATAACACATTGTGTAATATAAACTCCAGCTTGCAGTTTTCTGATTTCAATTCTTTTTTTTCATTTTTGTTCATTTGCTTTTTTTTCTTTTCTTAAAATTATTTTTATCATTTTTGTTTGTAAGATGAAGATGATGTTACAATGATCACAGAAGGTAACAATGCACCGTTGTCTTCATATACTAATACATTCATAGCATGTAATTGGTGTGCTAGCTTCTTTCTCTCTCTTTTTCTCTCTCATAAATATATTTTTTGTATCTCTGCTGTTGGTGGTGGGATTTGGTACTTTAATAGGTTTTCCTTCCCAGTCACCATTTATTCCTTCGTTTCCAGCCTTGTTGGTTTTGGTGTCATTTCTTCCAATCTTGGCCCTGATGGTTTTGTCGCCAGCCCGAAAAGTTTTGTTATTAGTCCTGATGGTTTTGGTGCAATTTTTTCCAATCTTGGCTCTGATAGTTTTGGTGCCATTTCTTCCAATCTTGGCTCTGATGGTTTTAGTGCCATTTCTTCCAATCTTGGCCCTGATAGTTTTGTTGCCATCCTGAATTGTTTTTGTCACAAGCCCCGGTGGTTTAGCTCCACTAAATCTTATCACTGTTGACTATGATGCTATAGTCTTCCATTTATCTGTAGCCATGATAATATTAATGCCATTCCTTCTCATAAAGTTAGCCAGAATATAGTTTTGATGCCTTTCTTCATTGTTATGGTTACCATGGGTACCATGTATGTCCTTCATGGCTTTGAAGGTACTTTTTCCATGAATGCCCGTCATCACAAATCGTTTTTATAGTTGCTGTGGCTTGGAAATAATTTAGCAAGGGGTTTATTCAAACAATAAACTTCCTTTAGATTCATAACAAATTACTGAAAAGCTACAGCAAAATATCATATATTGGGTTGAAAATGTTGTTAACGACTGCCAACATTGTGTAAATCTGATCTGTTTCATGCTGGGCAACGTTCAATTGCTCTTTTTTTGAACAAGATCACTACATCACTATCTGTCACAAATCCCAAAAGTAAAAGAAGTCGTCATCTGAGTTAAGAAAATGTAAATTATGTAACAATACTTCTGAATCGTAGAATTGTATTAAATATTGTATGTTATCCCAGCCAATGTTACTACCGTTTCAACATGAACTAAGTTATCTTGAATATCTAAGCTATAATAATATAATATACTGAACAAATTTAAAGATATGTGTTATAATAGATAGACACTTCATCAGACATCGTTTGTTACATGATCTATGAAATGCGTTGGTTCAGATATCATGTGACACTAATGATTTACTGATATACATGTACAATCAAATTATATAGTTTCTGAAAGCTTGTGTTTTAATGTGTTTTCTGAATGCTAGTATTTGAATGTGCTTTCTAAATGCTTGTGTTTGAATGTGTTTTCTGAATATTTGTGTTTGAATGTGTTTTCTAAATGCTTGTGTTTGAATGTGTTTTCTGAATGCTAGGGTTTGAATGTGCTTTTTGAATGTTTGTGTTTGAATGTGTTTTCTGAATGTTTGAATGTGTTTTTTGAATGCTTGTATTTGAATATGTTTTCTAAATGCTTGTATTTGAATGTGTTTTCTGAATGTGTTTGAATGTGTTTTTTGAATGCTAGTGTTTGAATGTGTTTTCTGAATGCTTGTATTTGAATGTGTTTTCTGAATGTTTGTGTTTGAATGTGTTTTCTGAATGTTTGTGTTTGAATGTGCTTTTTGAATGCTTGTATTTGAATGTGTTTTCTGAATGCTAGTATTTGAATGTGTTTTCTAAATGCTTGTATTTGAATGTGTTTTCTGAATGCTAGGGTTTGAATGTGCTTTTTGAATGTTTGTGTTTGAATGTGTTTTCTGAATGTTTGTGTTTGAATGTGCTTTTTGAATGCTTGTATTTGAATGTGTTTTCTGAATGCTAGTATTTGAATGTGTTTTCTAAATGCTTGTATTTGAATGTGTTTTCTGAATGCTAGGGTTTGAATGTGCTTTTTGAATGTTTGTGTTTGAATGTGTTTTCTGAATGTTTGAATGTGTTTTTTGAATGATTGTATTTGAATATGTTTTCTAAATGCTTGTATTTGAATGTGTTTTCTGAATGTGTTTGAATGTGTTTTTTGAATGCTAGTGTTTGAATGTGTTTTCTGAATGTTTGTATTTGAATGTGTTTTCTGAATGCTAGTATTTGAATGTGTTTTCTGAATACTAGTATGTGATTGTGTTTTCTGAATGCTTGTATTTGAATGTGTTTTACTGAAAGCAAGTGTTTGAATGTGTTTTCTGAAGGCTTGTGTTTGAATGTGTTTTCCAAATGCTGTTTGAATGTGTTCTCAGAAACGTAGAATTTGAATATGTTTTCTGAAAGGTAGAATTTAGTCTGTCTGTTTTGCGAAAGTCAGTGTTTGAATGCAAATACCAGTGTTTCCATCTTTTTTAAAGCCATATTTGAATCTAAATTCTGAAAGGTAGTGTTTGTAACAGTTATTTTCAAAGCCAATGTTTTCCATGGCAAATAATTGCTTAGTGACGACATGTCCTATAAAATTCAAATATTTATTGCATAGAGTTCTTAATCAGATAGTTAATTTTTTATTATTTTTTACCAAATTTTTGTTTCTGAATAATTTTTATATATTTATATTTGAGCTCGCCTTGTGAGTGCAGTATGGTATCCCTTGTTTACCCTCCCACCATTTGGTGCATGTTATGCCTGTCTATACAGTGTACGTACAAACTATTCGTAGTTAGCGATGTAACGTCCACTCCCCATTATTCTATTTATAGTTGACCAACTCGTTCAATATATATATCTGCTCGGTACAGCGTTCTGTAGTTGGGTGTTATGCCGATAAATAGTCTTCCTACTTCAACCGAGTTCACAAAAGGTGAACCTCCAATCATAGCTTGTTTGACAACCATGAGACTGGGTAATTGACAGGATGTTTTTCCATTCTTTCTTCCAGATGAAGACATGCCAGAATTCCTGCAGGACACAGATGGAGAAGGTAAGCGGATTTAAATAATAATAAAAAAAAAATTGATCATGGATTGAAGTTATGTTGCACTTTTGCGTGATGTCCATAATTTGCAATGCTGTGTACAAATATCGATTATTAATATTTACACGTTAAGTTCTATTTATAATCAACTCACGTGGGAATCAGTCTCTAGGGTAATTTTAATGCAATTTTGATTCTAACCCAATATGTGTAATCAACAAGATCTAATCAATAAATTAACACTTGCAAGCCTGTGCAAATATTTTGACAGCTTTCTAGAATTTTTAGCAAGATTTTGTTTGTGTTTGTAACTCAAAATAATTGCATGCAGTTAGCTTCAACAATTCATATAATCTTGTTTTCTCTTAAAAAGTGTGCTTTGTAATTGAAAAAAAAATAATTTTTTAAGATGTGATTGAAGGTGGAATATTGTGAAAAGATGCAACAAATTTAATAAATTTCCATGACAACATATTGATTTGTTGTTTGCTTTCTCAAAATAGTCCCAAATTACGATTACCATATTTTTACAAAAAATGTAGACCAGACATATAGGCAGTGGAGAATTATTTCTATTTCCTCTAAAATTAATGAAGAAATTATAGAATAATAAATAAAAATGTGCAAAATATTGCATTGAAAATTGGGCGTGAAAATTTCTTGATGGTTCAGATAATTTTCCAAATAGCATAATAGATTAAAATACTAAATTGAATCACGAAAGTAAGCTTCCAGGGATCAAACGTTAATCAATGTCAGCTTTTATACATCATTTCGAAAATTGCATACTCTAATAAATAATCCATCTTTGATGTACATCACATGACTAGATTTTACGTCAATTTTCTTCATATGTTCTCTGTGACCGTTTTCTAGATAAAGTTCAGAAACCTCCAGATAGGGTTACTGATAAAAAAGAAAAACACACGTCATTGCTGCTGCCGACTCTGCCTGTCAGCGCCGTTGCCGTCACTGTTGCTGAACCACAGCCGATATCACCATTATTGTTATCATCATCATCTCCTTCCTCGGCCTCCACCACCATAGACACTTTAACACAATCTACGAAAGCAGAGGCGTTCCTCACTGCCATTGAGGAGGCTAAAATTAAAGGTTTTAGATCTCTCTCATCATCTGTGTTCTGTCACACAAATATCCGTCTCTTCTTCTTTTTTTTAAAACATCTCATTTCAATTGTCACAAAAATGGAACTATTTTTACTTTCTTTACCTCATTTATTGATCTCTAGAGCACTGGAATTATCACTGACATGCTTATTTATTGTTTGAGAAAAAAAATCTAAATTTCAATCTAAAAAAATAATAATTAAAATGAGAAAAAATCTACTTCTGAAATAATTGCACTGATTTAAAAATATTCTTTTATTTGAATTTAATTAAATCTCTAAACTACATTATGAATATTTGCCAATCCCACTAAAATAGTCATATTATCATATTAGATATAATCAAGATAATAACATAAAAAAGGAAATAATTTCCGATAAGATAGTAGGGCCAATTAGTTCCCCCAGTAACCTGTTATTAGCCACTTAAATGTGTGCTGTGAAAGTTTGATATAGAAAATCAATTTGAGATGAAACAAACAGTATTCTGATGTCTCTCCGTATATTTGTTTTTCCCAAACATAATTTATTCTTGATAGTCCCATAGTAGACTATTTGGATAATTTTAAATGTAAGCTTCCCTAAGTTATTACTTTAATGCTCAAATTAAAACCTCCCTAGATGCCTTTATAATTTTCACTCTTGAGTCTCTTTCTTTTAATGTGTTTATTCAAAATCTCTCTAGGTGCTTGTATAATATTCAGTTTAAAGCCTCCCTAGGTGCTTGTATAATGTATAATATTCAAAGCCTCCCTAGATTCATAAATAATGCTCACTCCTGAGTCTCTTACTTCTTATTTTGATTCTCAAGCCTCCCTAGGTGGTTGTACAATGTATAATATTCAGCTTAAAGCCTCCCTAGATACCTATATAATGTTACCTACATATGCATATATGTCTGTATGCATTGCTTATTTAAAGGTTTTTCATTAAGCCCCCCTATGTACCTAAATATTAGCCCTAATCTTGTCAGCCCCATGTCTTTTTACATTGACTTGACCACACATGAGTTAAATGTAAGTGCATATACTTAAAAGCCTTCGCAGATGTTTTCATAATGTAACTTGAGACTCCTTAGTTAGTTTAATAGACTAATGCATAGTATTAAGTTAATTTATAATCGTGCACACTTTTAAATACTAGGAGTGCATAATAAATCTCTGGCAACAATTTTTTTTTTTTTCATAACAGCAATGTGATATTGAAATGAGATAATGTTTTTTCCCTCACCTCCATACGTGTCTGTGCTGGTTTGTATGTCCTGTCCGCATTGCATGCTGGGATATCGGTGTTTCTTAATGGTGTTTAACTATTAATTCTGGAATGACTTTATATATATAGTGGTGTTTTGAAATTCAGTCTTTTTTGTGAGCATCCTTCCTTCAAATCTTTTTTAACTTCTTTTTTCCTAACTTTAAATTTAATGTCTATAATGCTGATCTATATTTCCGTTATCTTTTCCTCCTTTTTTCTTGGCATCAGAATTGGCTGCAGAAATAGAAAACGTTTTATCAAAAGAATCGGCGGAATCGCCCGAGGACACTTCCTTAACAGGTTTCTTATAGTCTTAACACTCCATGTTTTGAAGTGCACTTTCAACATTTCATTTTCTTGCATGTTTCTCACTTGATAAATATTAAATGGACTTTCTAGGTGTTAATTGCTCTTTTTTGTGGTGTTTGTTTGTGTTGTAATTCTAGTAATTGTTCTTGGTATTGTTTTTCTTGTTGTCTAGTGCTTTTTTAATGTTTGTCTTTTAAACGCATTGTTTCTGTTTTTTCAGAAATGCATACATTTCTACACACATGACGTTGTATCATAGCTGCGTTACAACTGTTTACTCATTTACCGTCGAGATGCTGCTTTTACATTTTGCCCTAATTAAGCATTAATTTTTTAACAAATTTTGAGAATTTTGGATAAAAAGATTAAAATTTGCTATTCTTTACAGGTTTTCACCAAAATTTTTCCAAAATCATCCAAATTTATTTTAGAATTATAGTTTTGAGAAGTCATGATAAGCAGCATATATCTCTTGGTGTTGGAAGAGTTTTCAGTCTGATTTCACTTTCTTCTTTTCTCACTTAATTCAGAGTTTATAACCAGGGAGTTTTCTTCTAGCACTGATGGATTTAACACCAAATTTAAACAAAAATAATCGCGGTGGTTGGTTTTTTACGGAGCACATTTTTTCCTGCTTGCACAGCTTTTTGCTCAATTTTGCAGTTTTGCTGATTGGCGTTCCTAAAGGAACATGTAAAGGGTGGTGTGACTTTTTAAGTTAATGTTTTGCTGTTGTTTAACCTTACTTTAATTAAAAGTTTGCATGAATACTTTACAGGGTGGCTGACTAACCATGACTTCAAGATTAACACATCTTCTTACTCTTCAGCCAAGCACACACGAACACAAAAATATTTACATCATTTATTTCCAGAAACTCAATCACTGACAGTATGCTTTATGCATGACCTCTAAAGGTCACACATCCTGGTACTTTTATGGGTATTGTTGTCCTGTGACAGCAGTAATTCCAACATTATACATTACATTTTTGCAATGCAATGAGTTTTGAACTTTAATGACAAATACTTGATTTTTTGGGGTAAATAATTGAGAAATTCTCATTGATAATAAATTTATATCCTCAGAAAGTACCAGGATGTGTGACCTTTTAGAGGTCGTGCATAGAGAGTCCATTACTTTAGGATTGTTCAATTCACTACCATTTCTCTACCAGTTTTTTTCCTGCCAGAATTATGATACAAATATTTTTAATTAAATGTGTGTGTAAATTTCTCTAATTGCAATGTCAAGTTGGACATGAAAGACAGAACTTAATATTGCTTTCAAGATCTGATGCAAATTAAAAAAAAAAATACTGTCTCCCATGGAAACAAGACAATTTATGATCAGTAGTCAAGAGTTGACACTGAATGGAATGAGGTGGGCACCTCAATTTGGCCTGCGCTCTCACAGACCCTTTGTATTTGGTTAATAAAGTATGTTCATTAATTATCTTAACTCCTCAAAGGATGTAATGGTTAATAATTACTTAACTCTATTAACTACCTAGGACCTATTTCTGCAAAAAAATTCATCCAGTGAAAAGACTGGTGGCTTAAGGAGCTCTCATAGGACAAAGGAGTGGCAATCTAAGGAGCTCTCAACTTTTTTTTGTGTGTGTGAAATTTGAAATTATGTTTGTTTTTACCATCTGTTTGGTGTGAATTGTTTTATGAAATATTTAATCTAATTGCATTCACAAAAACAACATGAATGTTATTGAATGTTTTCAGTGGAGAGATATTTTCCTACTGTATTAAGTTGTCTCATTGTTGAATGTACTAAAATTTCCCACAATGCATTATTATCTTTCTAGCATATCATGTGATGTATTTTAGCCAATCAGTGAGGCAGATACTAAAAATGTTTCTGACATTATTGAACAGTTTAAGCAAATGGAATGTTAGAACTTTGCATTAGGAAAATTATCTCCACTCTATCATATAATAATGAAATTAGAACTCGGTGTAATTTAATGATTCTTTTTCTCTAATCAAAGGTGATAATCTTGATCTTGAAATTGACAGCAGTGATGAAGATGATGCACTTTTACTACAGAAACACACTTTTACAAGTAAGCAATTCTCACTGATTTGGACTGTATCACTAAGTTATCAACTAACAACAGACTACCATTCCTAAAAATGATTATCAACTACACACAACTAGCAACGGTTGATACTTTCTACCAGGATTGACAGTTGTCACTATAAACTTGCCCAGACTAACATTCCTAAAATTGTAGTTAACTACACACAACTAGCAGTTGTTGATACTTTCTACCAGGACTCACAGTTGTCACTGAAAACTGAACCAGAACACTATGGCTACACTGAACAAAACAAACAGTCATGCTGCATCTCTGTCACTAACCATTTCAATTTAATACTGTGTTTTCAGATGAATTCCAACAGCCACATTATCGCCGTGCTGGTGACCACACCGTCAGCGATTTAGAAGACATTCCGGAGGTAGAGGAGGATAATTTATCGCTCTCGGACAGTAAACATTCCTGCCTCGTAAACACTGATAGTTTAACATCCATTAGTGAAATCGACGACTTTTCATCCGGAGGTAATGCGACCCTATACTGTGCATGATATTAATGTGAATAAGAATATAATTTTTTTTTTTTGTCATTGAAAAACCAGCTGTGAATTTCCAGGCAAGCAAGTAAATTCAGGGTTTTTTGTGACGATGAATACTACTTATGACTGTTGAGATATGTTTATTGTGTTTGATGTGTGTGTGTGACATAAGTGAAGACCAACCAGAGAACAGGAAAACACCAATTGAACTGAATAGAATAGGCACATGTGCACTTTTAGCTCTACCTCCCATTGTTGGTAAAAAAAAAAAAAAACTGTTTATCTTGAGTTTGAACTTGACACTGATGTGAGAAAAAGCTTTGGTTTGAGCAGTCCTTATTATACATGGAAGAGTATGTCACTTCATGTCTATCACATTTTAACCAGTTACTTTATTTGAACTGCATATAACAGTTTCATTTCCGTCGTACTATTTTTTATGATTGCACAGCTGTAATTGGGTGGGTTGGTGGGCGTACTATCCTTCAAGCATTTTTTGTGTGGCATACCACAGTGCCACAATATCTTATACTGTAGAAAGTAGTTGTATTCAAGTAGTTAATTAAAAAATTCCAATTAGACTTCATAGTAGAGTAGTAAACAATCTGAAAAAAAATTGTTTATTTCCTAGTGTATGTCATTACAGAAATACCTGCACCTAAGAAATTAGAACTCGAACGTCAGATGTCTGATAGTATTATATTACAGTGGATCGCTCCTGATACGATCGCATTAAAAGACATCAAGGAGTTTCGTGTGTTTGTAGATAGTCAGCTAAAAGCATCCATAAGAGGGGATGCCAAAACAAGGGCTTTAATAGACCGGGTTAACCCCAGTGAGTCCCACCGAATATCAGTTAGAACAGTCACGCACAGAGGCCAATCGCACGACGCAGCATGTACAATTACGATCGGGAAAGGTAGGTGTACCGGTCGGTGTAACTCAATGTGAATTTGTAGCCGCTTGCCTGCCTTAAAAGTCTAACTTTAAACGCTTTGCTTTTTAAAATCTAACAACTAATAACAGATTTATTTTAGTTTATTTGTAGATTATTTTATACCTTGTTACAAAGGACTCAACTTTGTGTGCTACATACATTGTCACATTCATGCCAGGATTGACGGTGTTAAATTATGCAGCAATTATTATTTTTCTGAATGTTCTTGCAGCTTGTGATTGTCTCGTTCGCCAAAAATGATAAAAAAGTAGCACATGAACTTGATCTCATTATTCTCATGTTTGTGTAACCAAGGTTACATGTACTGTGTTTCATATTTTAGTAATGTGCTTTTTTGACATACTTCGTGCATTCTAAGATATGAAACTCAGTATAATATGCATATTCTTAAGGTTGTCATATATTAACAATGCTATAACTAAATATTATTTTTTTAATTTAATTACTTAACACCTGTAGTTTTAAAAATTAAATGTGCTTTTTAATATCTTGCTTCTAACCACTGTTTTCTGTGCATAATACTTTTGATTTTGTCAGTCAATGAAAGCAGCAGCATGTTAGAAGTTGTTTATCCAGACAACCCCCCCCCCCCCTCCCAAACCACCACCATTGTGAATGATTAATTGTAGGATTTATTCACACGTCCAAGATGGCCGCATTTTTCTGGATGGAGCAATACAACTCTTGAGTTTCTGCCTCTAGTGTGTACCGCTAATATTCATAAAGGCTGTTAAACTGAATAACTTCAACCTGGTATATTCCAGTTTTCTGTGTGCGAGTGAAATCAACAAATCTACAAGATACCTTAACTAAATGCTTTTGCTGCTTTCACTGAATACTATCAAACTTTGTCTGACTTACAAATTCATGCAAACTCCATTTTTACCGCTTTATTCTCATTTATCAACACAGAATCGACAGCGGCTCCAAGCAATCTAAAAGCAGCCAATGTAGCTCCCACATCAGCTGAGATTATGTGGTTGCCTGGCAACAGTAACCTAGCACATGTGATCTCAGTCAATAATCTTGAAGTGAGAACAGTCAAACCTGGCATTTACAAATATGTTCTTACTGGTAAGTTGTTTGATAGGGTCAATCATCGTTATTGTGCACGCATCTCTAAACTTGTTTCTTGTCATAGTTTTGTACCTGTATCAAAAAACTTAACGTCTTGGTACTTGTACAATTAATACAACAGAATTGCAAATGACCTGGAGGTCACATGTCATGTTGTAGATTTTTGCATCTTTATATGAATTCTATTGAAACACATACGATCAATATATTTCAACACAAGAGCAAATATAGTGACCCCCTCACTAAGTCACAGGTGTCAGGATCTGAGGAAAAAACGAGCTATATCAGGGATTATGACTCAAGGACAAACAGTCTCAATAACTGTTGCTCAGTTGAAAACTAGAGATCAGAGTGATGGATTCTGATCATTGCAGTGAGTTTTTATAAGGCTTTATCAAAACTATACTGACTGAGAAATGTGCAAAGTAGCGAGGTTACACCTTAAATCAAACTGCTGATGTTTTTTGTAAGTTATTGATTGGGCAATTAGCGTTAAATGCCAATGACATCAACACGATTTGAAAAACACCAGCATCGTTTGTCTCACTAGTGGCTTATTAAATACTCTTTAGTGACTAGTTAAATATATAAGGCAATGAATTATTAGCTAATTTATGTATTTTTTTTAACGTTAATTGCCAATATCACGATTTACTGAGGCACCACTTAACGTGAGGTCACAGTACTACAGTACCGGTAATACAGTGATATGGTATGAGGACATAATGTGTTCTTGACAAAAACACATTTTTTCCATTTCCCACCTTATTGTAGTGGGATTGTGGTGTATTCTTACAGGGATATTGACTACTGTTTGAATCGATTCATGATACTGTACTATTTGTAACCCTGATGCAAGTAATTTTTCGTAAAATGTAGTAACGGCAGTGCTGCTTACTTTCAGGTCTGTCGCCATCATCGGTATATCGAGTGAACGTTAGAGCAAAGGGTAGAAAATTGTCATGGGACGATAATCGGAATAAGAGAGGAATATCAACAGAAATAGAGTTTAAAACGATTCCAGGTGGTGAGTATACAAACAATTACCAAAGTCACTTCTCCAAATGATAAGGTTGGGGGTGCTCTCCTTCCATAGCAATATAATAGTCATTGTTCAGAACAATTCACCCACAATGCATTGCATGCAACAAACCACACCTAAGCTCCTATTTGACTCAATTCTGAACCTAGAGCAGCCGGAAATAATCATCTCACAGAAATGATTTCATTGGATTGAAATTTGGTCAGTTAGTATTCCTAGACATGACTCGCAACTATGTCAACAAAGGAGATATTTTGACAGGTTATTAACTATCACTTCAGGTCAGTATTTTGACAGGTCATTATATCTCATTTGAGGTCAACATTTTGACTGAGCATTATTTCTCATTTGAATTCTCATTTAACAGTGCATTATCCATTAATTGTTCCAGGCCTAAGTAAACCTCATTTGAAATCAACTTTTTGACTGAGCATTATTGCTCATTTGGGGTCTCATTTGACAGGGCATTATTCATTTATTGTTCCAGGCCTTCCTGATCCACCCTTAGATGTACAAGTAGAAGATGGTCCTTACAGTGGGTCATTATTAGTCACATGGTTGCCAGTGACTATTACAATATCAGGTACTTCCAATGGTGCTATGGTAACAGGATACGCTGTCTATGTAGATGAGCAGGAATTAGGAATCACAGACTCGCCAACAGGTACCTGGGTTTTTATTACCAATATACACCTCATAATTGTCATACTGTTGTAGCATTAATTATTCTCTATTTTTGCCCATAAGTGAAAATCATTTTTTCCTGCCAAGTTTATGAACTTTAAACCTTAGTAGTGAAAATTGCGCAAAGCATTAAAATACTAAAATTAAATTTCAGTAACAATAAATGGTTTTACAGTATTTTCATCACCCAAAATGCAACACAAACTATGCTGTTGATTTAATTAATTTTATCTTTGTCTATTATAATTTAGTAAAAATTTTCTTATATTTATTCTCTTCGTGACCCTCTGGATTTAATGTCCTTTTAAACATGTAATGTTATTTAATAGTTGGAATTTTTAATTAAAAATTAACTTAATACCATTCACTTCATTAGCTGATCGATTGGTAGTTAACACCAGTAAAATCAAGAGTACACCATTCCGGTATCTCACTGTCCGAACACTTTCAAGTAATGGGCCGTCGGCAGATTCACGTGGTCTGCGTATTCCAAAAGAAATGGTTCGAGTGAAGAAGCCAGAAACACTACCTGATGGCTCCAGAGTGAGTATTGATACAGATATTCTATTATTTACAATTTCTTGTTTTTCCTGTTTGTGCTCCAGTATGCATATTTATACCTCTATCGGCAGAGTACAAGCTTGCCTATAGAGGGCGCTGCTTTAAACTAATGTTTGCACTGCATTCTGGTAGTACAAGTTAGGTGCATCACAGATTTCAGGTACAATGTTTGTTTGTATAAGTTCATATTCTGACATATATATAAACCTCATAAACACGCACTTAGAATTTCTGTTTGTTGCATGATTTTAACACCCACTACAGTTAATGTTTGCTTTTTGATGAATGAAGAATCATTTCAAACTTTCAAATCCCGATTTCTTTCTTGAAATCATTTCTTACATGTTGTCATCTCATATGTCTATTTTGACACACTCTACTTTCTTTCTAAATTGATTGAATTTATATCCCATTTGTATTCTATCCCGGATTTACAATGATTCAATTTGGCAGGAAATTTTTCAGTCAGTGAAAATAAAGAAAAAAATTGTGTAGAATTGAAGGTTTTTCAGGGTCGTACAACAAAGAGTTTCAGTGATTTTCTCAAAATTTTGACTTCATGAATCCCTAAAAATGTGAAAATTCCACACAGCAGAACGATTTTCGGTACTTTTCTCTGTGTACTAAATATAGTCTTTTGGTGTTTCTGATTTGTTATTTGTAATTTACATCAAACCAAAACAAAGACTTTTTGATATTATTCTTAAAACTTCAACCAATTGTTATCCAGGATCGAATAAATGGTCTTATCTCCCAGATTGATGACATCATAGTCATGTGACTGTCAAAAAATCAAATCATAAATTACTTTTCAGTCGGCAAAGTAAATGACAAGGATATTTCTTTGGCTAAATTTCTTTTGTTCTGAGATGTTCATGTCAGTAGACTGTACAATGCTTGGTAAAGTTGTTTGATTTTTGTTTTGTTCATTTTTGGGATGCAAAGCAATCCTTTTTGGGGGGTATTCACTTCATAGCTACCATCACGTGGCAGTGATGATGTTATCAATCTTGTCCCGAAGTGCTCCTTATCCTTAGACTAATTCTTTCCTGTCTATTGTCAGCATCACCACAAACCTAGGGACCATCAACGTATTAAACGCCTACTTGTAAGTACATGTACATGCGTTACTATGGCATTTTAGTCACCATGGCAACACAAACTCTGACGTTCTTTTCTTCCCTACACTTGCAGTGCACCTAACTTTCCATCTACTTATTATTATGGGATATCGGTGTCTGATCAGTAACTATGATAAAGTCAGTATTAACCCTTTGAATGCCAATGTGAATGTTTGTGTAACCTTTCACAAAATACGACTTTCAGATTTGATTTTTTTTATCATTTTGATCAAGTAGGCAATAGGAAATTATGCTGATCTGGTATAGAATTATCAAAAAAATTAAATGAAAATAGGCACTGTGCTACACCAACATTTTGGCAGGAAAAATGTTGTGCTCAATGTTTACATTATTAACAAAACAAAACAAAAGTATAGTCAGTTTGAGTAAACTTCCCATCTTGGCAGCTACAGTGTTTCTTTAGTAGTAGAACGATACCTGATACAGATAGTAATATTTTATGGTCCACCCACTCACCACTCCTATTCAGTTCATCAATGGTTTGATATTTGAAATAATCCCAGATTACCGACTTAACAGATGTATCCTAAATTAGAACCGAAATACGTCATGGATTATTTAGTGCTGGTAATAGGTTAGATCGATCTGTAAGTCTTTCACAATTACCGCTTTCCATACACCACGAATGACAAGTGTTATCAAAATTTCTGAACTGCTAGTTCCTCATATTGGTGAGTTTTATAGTTTAATATTATGAAATTCTGGTGTATGTACAAATTTGTGTTTAATTATTGACCATTCGGTGCATTAAAGCTTACTATATTGCAATATTACTTTATATTGTTCATTCTACAGTACTTGGTATACTAAATTGCTCACATTGATCCAAATCTGTGCCAAATGAGATAGATGTTCATTAGGTCATAAATTAACAGCGAAATTATAGAAAAATTTCATAAAAATGTCTAATAGAGAGTTGGTAGTCTGATGACTAGCAGTAAATGTGCTAGGGCTGTAGAGTATTAAGTTTCCCATCGATGTTTACAAAAATGGTCACTTTTCTGTCTTTTGCTCAAAATAGGGAATATGTCTGCCGATATTGATCTCATTTTGCATCATTAACAAAAAGTCATGAGTGAGAACGCCAGGGTATTGTCATGGTTAGATGGGATTTGATTTGACACAAGTTAACCCCCTTCTTTGTATTGCATACAAATCTATGAGAGATTTTTTGTATTTGCATGTTGTCACCTGTTTCCCCCCTTTCCTACAGCAACTGTCACAACTGTTTACAATATGTGTGTATATCTTTTACATGTGAAATGTTGAATTATTCTGTGTTATTATCTCTTTCATTATGCGATATCCCACAATTCCAAACTTACTAGCATTCAAGATGGCAGTGCATAGAAATAGGAAATAATTACATTCTTAAACATTTTGTGTTTAACTGACACCTTTTGTAATATATGCATGAAATTTTTCTATTGAACAATTGAGACCGATCTACATGTCAACTTTTGTCAGTTTTCACAAACTGAAAACCGACTTTCTTTTGTTCTCTTACATTTTACTAAAGCCAGTAAAAACTAGAACATTCCATTAAATTTGTGTAAAATTGATATCACAATAGTGCATTACAATGTTGGAGAAAAAAATTTGATGTAAATTTTTTCTATTTTATTTGTTTTTAAACCAAATGTGTAAAATTTGTTGCTGCCTTCGGGTTTTTGAGTAAAATTTATTAATAATATTCAAAACAAGATGATGCAGGAATGTTATATGAATGGTGACCATAGTTGACAATCTTAGGACAATTTTTTTTTTTTTTTTTAAAAGTATTTGAATGTCATACAATACCCTCCTTTGTAATAATTCCCACCTTCTCTCTACTTCTCTTTCTCTTTAATCTCCGTCTTTGTATGCTGACTCCTCTTCATCATCCTTGCTCTCCTCCTTATCATGGAATGTTACCTTATATAGCCTGGTGGAGGGATGTATGAGAATGTGTCACCCGATGACTCAACAAGCACGCTATCCGAAGAAATTGTAGAAACTTTTAGAAAAGACAGCATGTCTCCAGTTAGTGCCAATCTAGAGGATAGACTAGATCAAGTACCAATAGACGATATAGCTCTCATAAAGGTGGGTGGTAACTGGTAACGGAAGAATGTAGCGATGTGTTCGCTGTTGTTTTGGGTTGTAAGATTTCATATATTGCATGGCATGCCACTTATAAAAATACCTGCATGCGTTTTCATTACCATTCCCATCTGTATTTCCATTTTTTTTATCATGACTTTAAAGATTTATTTTTAATCCAATAATTATTTACGATGTGTCGAAGATACCTAACAAGATTTCATTTTCAAATTATTTATAGACGTATTTGTGTTTTAGAGTTGAGTCTCTTTTTGCTCTAAAATAGTCAAATGTTGCAGAATTCTTACAACTTTTTGTGAGTTGTTCTATTTTTAATTAGCAACTGCCAATGACTGGTGCAAACTGGTTTTGCATTTTGTTGTTTGTTTTGCATTTTGTTGTTTGTTGTTATGCATTATTATGCTGACAAACAAGGATGGTGTAAGCTGTACCGTACAACACTGCTCTTGTCGCCATTTCTTGTCGACTGTGTGATGGCAGTTATGTAGGATGCCACAATTGTTTTGCTCATGTGTGCTTGTGCAGTAACTGGTAGGCAAATACCTGTTATTCGCACCCAAGGATAGAATAACTGCAATTGTGCACTAGTGTTGCATTTAAATATATATGTTCGTGTTCCTGCTAATAAAACAGCGTATGGAAAGCAATGTCACAGCGGTTTGTGAGCTGGTTCTTATCGGTGTGCAACATTTCTTATCATGCTGGTTGGCATAAATGGTGTCACAGTGCGACAGTCTATAGTACATGCATTAAAACCAAAAGTTATAAATAAATGTTTCAGATGAAATTTATCATGCAGTTAGGTGGCCTTTCTCAGTGCTGCAGTTGAGGGGTCTTGTTCAATGTTGTAATAAATATCAGTACATATAGCTATTCATGATTCTTTGATGCAAGTAATCATTAGCATATCATGTGATACATGTGTAGCCATACACAATCAACAATTTGTTTTACAGGTTTTCCTGTATTGGAGGCGGGGTTCTGATCCTAACTGGTAAACTTGTTCTTTGTTTTATAGAAACCTGAAATCCGTCCTAGTTTCCGTGAAGAATTACATTCTGAGGATAGCAGTGATCGTTCTGAGCTTTCTGATATAGCAGAAGAAGTTGAAGAGGAGTTGACGGACACTGACGACATGGCAGCAAATAATAATAATGAGTTCAAAGGCATGCAGCCGAAAAATGTCAAGGTACATTAAGTTTTCTTACTTATAATACCCATATCTTTAATAAAATGACATTGTTGTCGTCACGGTCATCATTCATGGTGTTGTCATTGTCCTCGTTGATGGTGTTGTCAGTGTCCTTGTTGACAGTGTTGTCATCATCATTGTTTTCATCAATGTGTTATCATTGTCATAGTTCATAATTATTTTCCTTGTTGACAACTTTTTTTTATTTTCAGAGTAATCATGAATTAGAATTTGACACTGATCCTGAAATGGAGCAGTTTAGTCGTGAAGATTTAACAGTGCCTATACCTGTCATTAGACAACAAACTGACTATGATCGGGAGACTGAACAGTCACCAGACCACCATGTGCAGGAACCAGTACCTCTTAAACCGAAACCTATCACTGTACCACAAATAGGTAAATACATTAGGGTCTAGCATCTCTGTAACTATGGTTACCATCTGAAACTTTGTTGTTACTTTTCATCCAATACAAAATTTATTCAATAATTTTTGTTATTAGTCTGTTTATTATTTATCAATCTTTATTTAATTATTCATTATTTTCATTTATTTTCATTTGGATTTATGACATTTTTTATTTTTAATCGTTTTAGGTGTTGCAGGTAATAATTATATTTATTTGATTTATCTGAAACTTGTCAATTAACTTCTTTTCTTAATTTGTGATTCTTACTTTCTTTTTCATTAGGCTTTGCATCCATGCATTGCATTATATAATTATTTTCCCAGAATGCATTGTGTGATTATCTGGCACTGCACACATGCACACATCACATTGAGCATTTTTTTTTCTCGCAATAGATTTATTTTTAAATGATGGCTTGATGCAGTAAATAGTGTACAATTAAATTAATCTCATAAACGCTGGCAGATATAAAGTTATAAAGACACAGCTATTGCTAGAGTATATTTTACTCTCAACTGGCTATAATTTTCTACATAGAAAGAAATATTGTAACAATTCAGCAGCTTACACTCTGGTTTCGACATCAGGGAAAAACATGTATCTGTGATATCAGCGTTATTTACTCATGAATGCTTCCCTTGTCAATATTACAAAATCCCACCAAAAATAGAACTGATGTAGACACAGAAAGTCATTTAACATGTGGACAACATTTGAACAACGTGTGAACAAAAAGTTGAACATGTTGGACAACATGTGCAGATGATATGTATAATTTCAATCTAATCTGTTTACTGGAAATATTTTGCTTTGTTTTTTTTTTTGGTGATTTGTTCTGAATCCCAAGGAAGTTTATTGCCTGAAAGAAAACCCTACCAAATTTCAATGCCACACAAGTATTAATATGTCGTTATTTTAATTTTTGTTTACTTAGTTTGGTTGTCCAAATTGAACATCAATAATTATAACATTAGATAATTATTCACACTGTATTGATATTTTAAGTAATATTCACTGGATTTTAAATTCTTGCATTTGCCAAGAAAAATGAGTTCTGTAAAAAATTATTTTAATTTCACAAGTTCATGCAGATTTAAAAATTGATTTTCACATATCAATGAAATTAAAACCCAGTGAATAATTAATATGTTTACAGTAACTTGATGTTTCTTGACACTGTACATTGGTTGAATAATAACACTGTTGTCTATGTGCATTCTGTCTGGAACTCTGCTAGTGCTTGCAAAAACTTACTAATTTTTTCATTTATATTTATCATAATATAGTGTGATTTGACTACTAATATATTTTTGACTTTATAAATATTATATTCTAAATAAATGACAAATGTTTTTTTAATGATTTTCAGAGATTACAAAAGACAGTAACAGCGAGGGTCTAGGAACCGGATCAACTATATCTGACCATTACGGGTCTGATCAAGAATTTGACAGTCATGGACAACAAAGGTACTCTCCAGGCAAAGAAAAAAATTACCGCCAAGATCAGTACAATAACAGATATGAACGTTACCAAGAAAGAAAGGAGACGTACGGGAGCCCTGTGGAACAAGAACGGCGGAATCACAACTACAGGGATTCTCTATCGCCAAACGACATAGAAGGTGAAAGTACAGGAAGTGAACCACCAGAGGAATTATACGATGATAGCACTGTCAGATACTTTGTGGCATTGTTTACTTACGACCCTTCTATCATGTCGCCTAACGAGGACGCTATTGATGAAGAATTACCTTTTACTGAAGGACAGTTGATTAAGGTGAATTACTCCCCTGAAAATATTATTGTACTGTACTCGCAACGTATGCAGGCAGAAGTACAGTGACAGTTCAGTGTATCAGCCAGCCTATGGTCACATACTGAGTGCAAACTTTGCAGTGGCCTCCTATTAACATTATTAGTAATGTCCCTATTTATTACTGTAATTCATAGGCCCAGGACTGGATACAGTGGTAACAAATAGTGATACTTTCCCCGTGTACTCTGTGAACTGCTTTTTAAAATTCAATTGCCTTCTTGGAAATACAGCATTAATCTACATGTATTTGGAGTTGTATAAGGATTCAGTTATCATGTTTGATACTACAAAATTATAGCAGATACAAAAAAAATGGAGGGCTGTTTCACTTTGTACATACTTGTATTCTTTTATAGGTTTACGGAGATAAAGACTCTGATGGGTTCTTCCATGGCGAGGCCAATGGTAGAACAGGTTTTGTACCTTGTAACATGGTCGTGGAGGCACAGTTGGATGAAAAGTCTGCAGAAGAACGATTTGTGAGGGAATCACTGGGTAACTCTCCAAGAAGTAGATCTCCCAGAAGTGCAACAATCAGCCCAAGTAGCTCCAATAGTGTATCTTACAGCCCGAGGGGGGAAGTCCAGAAGTCGGCCAATGGGAAAGCACATATACCCGTTGAAGGACCGATACACTTGAGAAAGATGGTGGCGCTGTTCGACTATGATCCCAGGCAGGCATCTCCTAATGTAGATTCTGACGTAGAGTTGGCGTTTAAAACCGGAGATATTATCTTGGTGGATGGCGAGATGGACGATGATGGCTTCTTTCTAGTAAGTGTTAACATCCTCTTTAGTCATCCCCCTATTAGAACAACTACACACATCACACTTCTTGTTATGTTTAATTTCTCATTTTTCTGAAATGATGCAACATGAAATGTTCAATATCTATAGTGCATTCACGAGTGCATAAAGTAATGTTGCAGCGATCACTCATGGTAACAAAGGGAAATTGTATGAAGCGAATGTAATCAAGGTCATTAGATTGTCCCATGATTTATCGGTATGCTGCTATGGAATTGAAACTCTTGGAAAAAATATGTAATTTATCATAAAGTTGAAAAATTAACTTGTCAAAATCAGCAGTATAACTCAAATCAACTTTTTACCTGCGATGATTTCATTGTCGTCCACTGTCTTTACTTGGATCTACACTGCTCAGTGGCATCCAAGGTGTGACATCACATAATAGTGGAGCTTGAGTTATTAGGGATCATCTTGATGCAGTGCAGCGAATACACTCCAAGATAAAGTAATGCTGATTGTCTGTTGATTCACCTCCAGGAGGCGCTCTTCTGTTTTTTTACATTAAAGTCTTGCAGGTCATCACTCAGCATGTTTGAAGTTTGTGTAAATAAACAGTTTTGTTTACACATGTTTTATTGATCACATTGAATGTTTATAGAACACTAAATGATGCAATCTGGTGTGCAATAACTGGTGTTTTAACATTATGATTGTTTCCTCACAGGCTGAAATTCGTGGGGAGAGAGGATTAGTCCCATCTAATTTTCTGGAGGAAGTACCCTTAACACCGTCACCAGTGCCAAGCCCTACACCGTCTAGAAATTCAAATGACAAAACATCCGCAATGAGTAATAAGGTAAGGGTAGTATGTTGAAGTATCTGTCATTTGTGTCATGTCAGGGGGGGGGGGGGGGTTACTTCTCAAAATGTTGTTTACATAGCAACAGGTTTTCTTGTTTTGCCCAGCGTGATAATGCTGTATTCATTGTGTTGCATTTCCTGTATATAAAAACTGTCAGATTGATTGCATTACTGTCAGGAGCTGATGCATGTAAAGTGGTGCAGACTAACTAGTTGGTCTTGTACATGACTGTGTGAGTTTTGGCACTGTTCACATGGGTATACTGTGGGCCTAGATTCAGATGGAGAACACCTGCATAAAACCCAACAATTTTTCTTTGTAGTTGCTAAGCAAAGCCATTGCAAATTTTGTAGTGTGTTGTTTGTCACTCAATATGTAAGGTACTTGCTATGTCCCATCTGCAAAATAACAATATATTTCTATCACGAAAAAACTGACCTCAATTTTTTTTATAATCAATATCGATTTGCTTTTATTGTCTGCATATTGTTACAATGTAGAATTGAAGCACAACAGATGACAACATTCAAGCAAAGAAGAAAGTCATATTTAGTCTGTTTTTTAGCCTGTCAATTTTCACTGCCTTATTTTTCTAATACTCTAATTTTTCTTGTCCCATTAAGCCACCTCCAATTCTCCATTCTTTCTCTCTCCTCCAATTCCTTGTATCCATGTAATTTATGAATATGGCGCCCTCTATTGGTCATAACAAAGTTTAAAGATGATGCTTCCATTTTCCAAAAATGGCAATTCTTTTTCTGCCCATCTCTATAAAACAAATTCACAAAGTTGTTGTTCTCTCCTCATAAGTGTGGTGGTGGTGATCAATAAAAACTTCAAAAACTTATTTAAATCCGGTTTCATTTATACTAATTTACTTCAAGCATGTTTGTCATTGCTTATTCTAACTCTCCCTTTCTTTCTCTCTATGTCACATGGTTATAACTCTGGTTTTTCATTCACTCACATAGTTTCATCGTCTTTTATCTTTGTCTGCATTGCTTCCTTCCATTCCCTTCCAGGTGGGCTCTTCACAAGGGTAAGCATGACATGGGATCGGTGGCATCCTGCTCACTCAGTGTGGTTTAAGTGCTTTTAATTGTGTTACGCAACTTCTCTCATTCATTCACTCAAGTTTTCCCATGATTCATTGTATTAAACACATGTTTCCCATGATGCATTGCATTTATATATATTACCCTTGATGCACTGTATCATATTTCCCACAATGCACAGCATCATATATTCCCATAATACACTGCATTTCCCCCAAGATCCATTAAATTAATTCCCATTATACACAATTCAGTTCATGCCTGGCTCTTGATTTGTTTTATTGTAATCTTTGTTCCTGTGACTTGTTCCTTGTATTTCCCATGATGCATTGTGGTCATCAAGGTCAAGTTCTGACAATTTCATTGGTTTTTAATGTTAGTTGACAGATATTAGATCTGGACCATATTGTATTACACAATGTTTATAAATCGTTACAGTACAATGCATCATGGGTATTTTGTTTACTTTTTGTCAGTTGTGATTTGTTGTTTATGTCATGTTTGATGTGATTTTCACTCTGTTGCTATAAATCAACAAATTTACAAACACTTTGTGTATCATATCATGATACACCCAAATTTTCTTTTTTCATTTTTTTTTACCATAATTTTTATTGGCATTTAATTGAATTGCTAATAGGTTATTCTACCATTTTTACTTTTCACAATATTTTGCATGATTGTGCTCTCGCAAAAAAGAATCCTGTTTTCAAGAATTTCAACTTTCTATAACTGACTGAATTCAAACTAAAGTAATATTTCTCATGAAAATTTCTCTTCATATTAAATCAGCATGGTATTTTAAAACATTCTAGTGTCTGTTGAAATGAAAACTTCCAAACAATAAAAACTGAGATTTATTTTCGCATGATTATCAACTTCATATTTGTCACAAAATGTCATTTTTCATGTAAATTTTTTAAATTTGCAAAAGAATTCAAAATTATGTATAAATTTTGTTGACACATTTGTTTTATCTATCTGTAATGCACACTACTAGTATATGTTTTTTGTGAAATTCAAATTGCTATGTTCTTTAATTAATGACACCAATAATATCAATCCACTTCATGTTCTAGAATTCGAGTACCACCAAAAGCCTTGACAAGGAGAAGGCCAAGGCCACAGACATTGAATCCAGCAAACCGGTAGCAAACAACACCAATACCATCGACAAGAAAAAAAATAAAGGCATCTTCTCCAAGGGGAAAGCACTGTTCAAGAAGTTTGGCACAAGTGACAATGCTACTGGCAAGTCGAAAAGATAAAATACCTTCTGGTGTGTTGTTAGTTGATGCCAGGTGTGCCAATAACAAATATCTTACAGTTTTTTGGCAACTCAGCTACGGAATCTCGGGAATAAACGATGGATTGCTTATAATGGAGTCTGGTAATGACATTGATGTCTGTGTCATTATTAGCGTCAAGTGCTTAACCCGACACATCAACCAACTTTATATAATGATAATACCGATGTTTTAAATATCAGCCTTCTTTGATTGTCTGTATATCCCATATCTACATTGTCATGGTTACCAACCAAGACTATGATTGGTTGAAAATTTATACATGCTTTGCATAATGTAAAGTCAAAATTAAAATCCTATTTTTTATTCCTAACAAATTTACATAGAGCAGTAATATGCAATGCATTTTAGTTAAAAACTGTTTTACTCTAAACAATATTGGACAAGTCCATTTAAACAAATAGGGTGGAACCTGCCCTAGTAAATGAGGGGTATTCGGTACATGGTATTTTCTGTACAGGTGCTATCTTACAATTGTTGATCATTCGATATTTACCATGTTACTTGACCACCTAGGTAGCCGACATAATTCTGTTATACGGCTAACGTGATCCCCTAGCCAGATGAACATTTATGCATCAATGTTTGGACATATTGTCTTGGAATATTGAGTCTTTTTTATTATAACCTAAGGGGGGATTTGGTAATTAAATTTCAGCCTAGGGAGCCTTCATATGACCTTTTCCAGATTTAACAGTATTACCAACCCGCTAGGTTTTGTGTGTGTTTGTTTGGTTTTTAATCTCTCCATCTAGTCTTCCATTTTTGGTTTATGGTGTTTTTTTAAATATGAATATTTCAACCATTGCCTTATCACAGATTATTAGAAGTAGTGAATATAGGCGCCCTTTGTTATCAAATTTTACCATGTTTTTTCCGCCCTCATTTTTAATATAAAATGATTTATTGTGTAATGTTTTGTACATATTGTTTTTTTGTCTTTGTAAATATTCAATGATGTTGCAGCATTCCAAAATCCATGGTGCGCTTTCAAGTTCACTCCAACAAAATGCAATTATTTGAAATCTTTTTAAAATCGTCCAGAAAGGAAACAGAATCATACTTTTGGACTTAAAATGTTTTTCGCAGTGTCATTGTGATTGGACAACACAAAAGTTTATGAGATGAACACTGCATGTAAAAGCTGCCCAGCACTGCATTGTGGGAAACATAGATTTGCAAAGTGATTGGTGCAGACTTAGTGACATTTGACCTCAATGCACAATAATTTGATATGGGCAGCAATGCAATGCAATGCTACAATTGGTTTTAATAGTGAACCTAACTGCTTTATTTAGCAAACAAGTACGAGTGTTGCCTGGTAACCAGTACGTTTTCCCTGTGACTAGGATGACTGCAATAAGTGTAACCTTTATTACAACATGTAGACTGTGGTCCAGTATATTCATCATTGTTTCTGCTTGATCATTCCAATTTTTGCACCGTTTTGTATTTTATATTGTCAGTTGTAATTATTATTCCGTCATTCTTGGCCTTGATTCATCATGCGCCTCTGCCAAATATGGCAAAACATTTATGGATGTCAAATGAGATGTAAATATTATTAGATTGTTTCAATTATTCATGACTATCTGTATATGGAAAATATGAATATTCATGATATATGGTTATATGAATATTCATCATTTCCTATATATGGTAATATTAATATTCATGACTTGCCATATATAGACATGAATGTTCAGACTTTCCTTATATGGATCTTCATTAGTATTCATCATTTTCCATATATGGGTATATGATGTTCTGATCATCTTAGACGGTAGACAATTGTCAAATTTAACTTTTTATTTTAAATAAATTATTTAACTTGTTGGGTTAAACTTTAACCGGGAATGTTTGTTTTTTTGTGTACAGTTGAACAAATTATTTGGATTGTATTTTATTTTTTTTAATAATCATCATACATTGGTATCTTTTGCGTTTATATGATTTTGTAAAAAAAAAAACAAATTTTGAAATTACTATTGTATGTTTTTTACGGGAGGTATTTTGTATTTATGTAGTGTCTCTCTTCATATTTGTGCAACATTTTTTTATGGTAAGATTTTGTGATGTATATATAATGGTAACCTCAAGTATCAACATATATTGTATATTGTTTGTTATATTACCAATTATGTAAGCAGATTCTGCCCCATGTTTAATTGTTAGGCACCCCTAACTTAGTGGTTTATCACAGAGCTATCTTTTATCATGGTGTCCTTTTTGATCATTTTCTAAGGGGTCTTAGGTAATTGGAACATGAATAAACCACCATTAATTTTGTGTAAACAATGTATTCAAATGCAGATTGTGACACTTTTACTTGGCCTTCTTGTATCATACATTGTTTGAGCATTTTTTTCGTTTTTAGTAAGAGTTAAAAAATACGCCATGAACTTTCGACATGCTTGTAATCAAATTGTCTATGAAGTCTGTAAAGATAGACTGCCCTCAACGTTACTTGCTAATTGAAATTAAAGCTATCATTTTTGAGATAGAAACAACATTGTAATAATTTGTTGTTCCAACCATTTCCACTTATCTAAATCACATCTGTTGTTGTGCTGTGAAACGAGTCCCATGCATGGTAAAGTGTATATGCATATTGTTTACTCAAAATACAAACGTACACGCGTCACGATGGTGGCGCTTTAATCAAAAAGAAACCCTGTGATAAAACATAGTGATGTACATATTGCTGAGTATTTGGTATTAATTTGGGGCAGATTTGAGCATTTTTTGTGTTCTATGTATTTCAAAGCGTCCATGTGATCAATGTTCTAACACAGCTCTGAATATTAATTAACACTTCAGTATTTGAATATGTACATAAATTAATTGATAAAGCATGGCTATATTTTTAATTACAATAAACAACAGTGTCTGTCTCATTATTTTCTCATTGAGGTGGGGGGGGTGTACAGAATTACATGGGGTTTAATGTCATTAAGATTCAGATCCAACTTAAAATTGGGGCAAATATGCATGGATGAAATTTCTTGATCGTGACAGTTTACAAGATTTTACCCAGTGTGGTTTGTAAATTGAATTTGATGGTGTACAAATACTTAATTCAATTCCACAGCTCATTAAAGAGGAATTGCGGTACACTGTTGACAGCACCCTCAGCGCATTGCCTTTTCAAAATCTTAAGACCATTAATCCAATCCAACACTAATAGCATATTACCTTGCATGCGACTTGATATCAATGTGTTACCAGTAATAAAATTTCATTATAAATCACAAGAAAAAAAGTTTTCACAGAAGACATTAACAGTCATTTTCCCTTTGTATAAATTCCTTTTCTAATAATCAAGCAAGGTAAAAAAAACATGAGAACAATAATTTTTTTTATAAATTAATTTATTTTGTAATTATTTTAGTGATATACAAAATTACTCAGTATAGAAGCACTACAATTAAAGGGACACACTCTGTATTAAACTCTGCATTTCAGCCCAGTTGGTACACTCCGCACAAAAACTTTAATATTTCGATATTAAGCCACATCACAAGTTGCGGAATTTGTCCCTTCAACATACCAACGTTCTCAACATATTTTTAGGTATTTGTAGGCTTGGGAACTAAACAAGTAATCATTTCATTACCAAATTAGATTACCACCCAGTCTGTGATTCTTCTTTGATATTAATCATAAATTATTTAAAAACATTTATTATACACAGCATGTTAACAGCATATACTGATACATATCTTCTAGATATTTATGATGAGGCTATATGGTTGAACTTGCTTTCCCACTTTGTATTCTACTGATTACCGTGAAAATCAGTTGGCTTGGCAACAAATCCTGAAATATGGGAGCATTGAAAGCTAGCCTTTCCTGAAGGTTATGGTCTCGCCAAATCATGTAAATTTTCACTCACTCCAGGCTTCCCCATAAAGTGGGAATGAAAGTATTGGTCACCGTGGCTAAATTGATATTACCACCACGAGCAGAAGCCCTATGTTTTAGGCATAAATAGTTACTTTACAATAAAGACTGGAGTTTTGTCTCCCATAACATATTGCCACATCAATGTTACTTATAGTTTTTTATCAAATAAATTTGAGTTTGATATTTTAAAAAGGTGCATGATTACATTCTCTGTATGTACAACACCTTTGCAAGTTACAGTCATGTCACAGTATTGATTGTTACTTGTAAAATGTTGATTTACAAAAGTATTTTGATAAGGTGTGCGAGATTATGATTTATTTATCAGTAAAAATGACTAAATCTGACCCAATACACAATGTTACTTACATCATATTAGTAAGATTTTCTCTCTAGAATAGCTCCGAACAAATCAAATTCGTAATTATCACACGGCTAATTTTCTAAATAATCTAATAATTTAACCCCCCCCCCCTCTCCCATACACACTTAAAAATCTATATACAAAAATATACATTTCTGCACTTTATGATCTGACACTCACCAAAGCTTTGAAAAAAACAACTGTGATACTGATATATACATGTAGTTTGATGTACCATATCATCTTTAACAGAGGTTCTCATGTTAAATCAAAATGCATAATACCAGGGATTACATAAACCCTTATCCAGCCAACTCCATGTACTTTTTACATTGACTTGACCAGATGAGGGTACCGATAATCTCCAAGTTCTGCTTCCCGGATATGCTCAATTTGTAAAGAACACTACTGTAAAATGACTAATCTTCACTGGGTTTAAATTTCGCTGATTTACCATTTCAGGCATATTCAGTGGGTTTTAAATTCACGGTTTTATCATTTAGATAATGTGTTTTATGCTAAATTTTACATATTCACTGGGTTTTAATTTAGCGCATTTCCCAGTCAGCGAAATAAGCAAAATTAAAACCCAGTGAATAATTAACCCTTTTACAGTATTTTGAGACTATGGTAGTGTGGGACCTAACTGTGATCTAAGTGCTATTGAGCACACACTTTTCTAATATCACAAATACTATATTTAAATAATAACAGCCATGATTCTGAATAGGTTAAAACATGGCCTGCTTTAAGCCTCCATGAATGGTCAACAGGCAATATGTCACCCAAATATTATTTTGGAATGAGCGTAGTCCAGTTTGCAGGCACCAGGTGACAGCATTCAATCACAATGGTCCATACCCAGCATTCATCAGTGCACTCTCCTGTTGAAACAAATAATATGTACGGTACATCATGTGATCTGCAAATTTTGAATATATATGTATTCTCAGGAATGAATAGCCAGGAAAACATGCAAAAACAACGTTAAAAAACATTCTTGGAACAGTGTAACAAGATTATCCTCTACATGTGCAACAAATGTTAATTTGGTTGTTCAGGATTAATCAAAGTTGAGTTTCTGATTTTTTCTAAACTTTAGCTGATTTTATCTGCTATTTGTCTGGTGTTTCACAGCAGCTCTTGCATAGCCAATGGAAAACGCGTCTGAGCAACTTAGAACATTATGACGTAGTTTCACCTAAAGAATAGTGTGGTCCTTCAAATCAGTAATCTCTAACTACTGTAGAATACTTTATTTTCGCTTGAAATTTATTTTCGCTATTTTCGCTGAAGGGATGATTCCATGAAAATAAAGTCCAGCGAATATACTGTTTTTCCTATATTTCACATTAAACTCATCAGAAATCAGTGAAAATAAATTCCATACAAAACGCCCAAAAAGCCTTTTCAGCGAAAATAAATTCCAGCGAAAATAAAGTATTCTACAGTATATGTAGCAGGAAGCAAGCTTTTCGTTCAATAAAGTATGTGTGTATTTTATTTTATTTTTTTTTTTATGAGAATCAGTCTCCATAATAGTAGTTCTTCAAATATGGATTTCTCAAATTACAGACTAGTTTAGTTTTTCATTAATGTCAAGAACAGTATGAAATAATGTACATAACATTGTTATCAACAAAGACTGAACAAACAAAAATAATAAAATCTGCCATACTTACCATGAGTTCATAGAACGTTTTAGACATAGACTCTTCAAAATATTCTATCTCTCGCTTGACTAAGCTTTCATTCTGAACATCTTCTGGTGACATGGTTTTCGTGACGAGCTCAGACATCAATTTTCCCTTTCTGTTGTTTGCAGTTTTGTTGAATTTGTCTGGTTTGTCCACAGTCAAGTATTCATCAATTCTCTGTTTAGAATAAGTGCAATTACACATATATTAAATACACTTCCTAAGTCGTTTAATCATTCCATTCGCCTGATTCAAGACCCAAAAATGAAGACCCCAAAAAGCTATTTACCCTTCTACCAATTTATACCATTTTGTAGAGATCTTAACAGCACAGCTCCCCTAACCAATAGTGTTAAGATGTTCAGAAGGGCCATTTATAGCTCCCAGGCAATTTTTGACAGCCTGGCTAGACGGTTTTGATTAATACTTGAATGAATCAACACACTGGAGTGTGGATTCCCTCTTTTAATAGATGCATATCTTTATAGCAATAGGAACACTGATTTATTCATTTCAAAAGAGTCCAACACAAGCAGGCCTCCATGCTCCATCTGAGAATTCCCATTCAAATCAACCACTCATTGCAACAAGGATACTGTTATTATGGACCAAGAACGGAACAAAAGAATTACAACTTTATGCCCACATTGGGACAGGACACCATTTCCTTCCAAACTTTGAATTCCACAAGCTTTACAAGTGGGCAAAGTACATTTCTTTTTCTAATGCTAAGTAGGCTGTTGACGATGGGAGTAAAATTTAGAGTGGGTGTGGCAGGAATAGATAATGGAAAGATGACAACCATATTTAGAAAGTAGCGTAGAAACGGGACTATATTATGAATATTGATGAAAAAAGGGAACTGGTGGTGAAAACGTTGAAACATACTTACAGGTTGAGGTACAGTCTCATCTTTATCATAGTGTCCATCCCATGTGTGCACCACCATAGAGGCAAAGTTACTATCCAATGTGATAGTTTTATCTTGGATACATGCTTTGAATGTATCCAACACCGGTGTGGTCAATGCCATTTGAAGGAATTCCTAGTTGGATCACAGTAACATATAATTATCAGAAATGCATGGTTTGAACCAGAGCCACTAAAGATTGAAAGTGTGCTAAATGGGTTATCATATTAATAACAGAATGCTATACTGCAAGACATGTTGAAAAACCGGTAGATACATAACATTTAATGAATTTCACTCAAAGTATTAACTATACTTAATTAAACTCAAATTTATTTCAAAATAGCGACAACATCAATTAATGAAATTAGCTTAAATTTGCTGGCAAAAAATTGCATTTCTACTGAAGCAAACACGCAAAAACAAGATTTCTGTAAAACATTTTAAAATACATTATTGTTTATTTAACCAAAATGCTGTCATGTCATCAATCTTATTGTAAATATACAATAATGAAAATTCAGACAAGTCAGAGCAATGAAAGCTGGACCAAATATGTAGAGACAGCCTCCTTCAATAAAATAATTGTTGTGGAAATCAAAACAGCTTTTATATGAAGGCTCTTGATTGTAAAAGATTTCAATATGGTACTTATAATACAAACAAAATACCTACCCTGGAGGGAGTTCCTACAAAGATCGGCAATACATGAACACCTTGCATAACGTATGGGCCATTAAATATCGGTAAAGCTGTCCAGCCGAGCTGACTATCTACACCAAGTTTGGGATCCTCACCGTCCTTACCGGTGACAACACCTGGACCCGATCCATCTGCAGTTGGTTTGTACACTGCATCCAGACTAAATATCTGGATTAATAGAATAGAATTGACATCGTGGTGGGGATGCAATATCTGGAAAAAATAATTTTAACAAAAAACGTTAACAACGATGATGACCTCGACATGACACACAGAAGAATTAGGTCTTCTACACTTTGTACGTCCATGAGATTAAACAACAGTCTACTGCTCTCTATTGGTGAACTTACTGATGCCATATCCAGCCATCTTGGAGATTTCTGAAGACTTCCATAGTCGTGTTTGCTAGTTAAAAATTTTTCTTCACCGCCATATCCTTCTGGAGTTCTTTCTAAATCAATGGCTTCATTCCCAGGTGACACTCTCACAAAACCATTACAGTAGAGACCTTCAACTGAAATAAACATATTTTGATTATTTACAATTATTTTTTAGGATAGGCAATTTATTTACTTACTTACTGGATGCAATTCAGTATTATCTTTTTCAGTGCAAAAATAAACTATAAATGCTAATCAAGACCACTCAGAAATAAAAACAATTATGTCTGCTTTATAGAATTATTAGAAAAGTACTACAAAAGTGAAAATATTCCTCCAAGCATTTGTTGGAAAAAATTATAGCAGGTTTTATTTTTGCCAATTTCATTATGATCTGCTACAATATCAATTCAAATTTTTTTCAACAAATTAGCTGTGACTCTGAGCATTTTTTTTTTTTTTAAATATAACCAGATAAAAATATCAGTAAATTTTACTGTGATATTGCATGGACAAAAGTGACTCTACACATGGCTAATGTCAAATGAAATGTAATTGTGATGTAAAAACTAACGCTCAAGTAGTCATCTCTGTAAATCGTTCACATGATGGGGGCTGTAGAAAAAAAGGTGTTGTCATCTTCTGTAATCTCTGCGGTTCCCTTGACAAAACTGGATTTCAATAGATGGCGCCCTCTGGAGACCTGGGCGCAACTCAGTGGCCATCTTTTTTCACAAGTGATTTCATGTACAACATGTCTAGTTTCAGTGTCCACTTTTCAACAATAACTGTATAAATTATACTAATGACTCATAATTATCATCTTCTAAATCCAATAAATCGCTTATGAATAAACCACATGACTGGGCAAGGTAGTCACAAATAGTAATACTTTCTCGGTATAAACCTTTTTTTAAACAGGCCCACTGGAAATATTACTTTAAACACTCCATATGTGGAATTCACATTTCCTAATGATGTTACATGCAGATAACCCAAGCAATAGTGAAATATTATGTGGAACTCTGTAATTAATAACAACATGGTAAAAGATGCATAATATTATACAACTTACTATTAAGTCCATAAGCAGATTGTACCTGGATGTCAACACCACGCGATATATCATAATTAATCAGTCTGGTTAAATCTAAATCCTTTGGAGGTGCTTTAGGTGCTAAGTGCTTCTTATCCAGTCGGTCTTTTAATAATTGCACCAGTTGATTCTCATCTTGTTCTGTAAAGTGAATAACAATTATAATATTTATTTATTACCAAATAAAAATTCTCAAAACCTCAGCTCCTATGAAGGATGTTATTAGTGAAATGAACTACCACCCCATGGGGTCTGAAAACTTTGCAATATGTCTATGCACATTTTGAGGCTGAGACCTCTGCAATACACCTATGCATATTTTGAGGTCTGAAAACTTTGCATATGTCTATGCACATTTTGAGGTCTGAGAATTTTGCAATACACTATGCACATTTTG